ACACAAACCCGTGTACAGCTCGCGTTTCTAATTGCAAGTCCCGATACGCGAACGTCAATCATTCGGAAACGTATACATTTTGCAAGTACTGGTTACCGCACGGTAGTTTTGTGCAAGGTGTATTTCTGCTACAACAAATTATACAATACGTTGCAACGACAGAAACAATGCGAGTAGAGTCTCGGGCGTTCACGTAGAAGAGGCATCCAACCAAGAGCTCTTTTCAAATATTTTACTTTAGATTTTAACCCTTTGCACTCGGATGCAGCGATTTATATTTGAAAATCTAATTAAATTTCAGGTGAAAAGACTTTTAAGTTTTTCATTTTCATTTTCAAAGTTATATTCGAAGTTATGCTTTGTCATTCCCTACATGGTGATATTTTTAAAAACGTGATTTAACGAATTTTCGTTTTTATAAGTGTCTCGCTTCGTCATAATGAATTGCAGAAATAATGACTACGATCCCGATCCTACATTTCAATACTCGATAGTTACCAATTCCGTATTTAGAATCACAGTAATTAATTTCAAAACGTTTTCTTACGCTGATGCGCGTGTCATTTTAGCTTCAAATATATTCTTAGGCATTACGTTCACCAACAGTGACGAAAAATTAAACTAGAATTGCTAAGCCCGTTAGGACTATCCGACTGGCTGTTTCAAATTACATACTAATGACCTAGCTGTGGATTACTTCTTATACAATTCGCATCATTCACTGACAGCTACGAGATGGAAATACTCACGCAACATTAACTTACCGGTTTGAATATTTTCAAGGGTAACTTATTTTCTAGAATTTTAGATGTTATATTCAAAGTAATTACTCAAATTTAACTGTCGTGCAATTCGAACGTGCAACAAAAAGTTTAAGGAAGAGATCGATGGAATGTTTAAACGTGCTTGGTGATATTAATTTGCAAGCGATTTTATTATTGGTAAACCGACTAGGAATATAGTCTAAATGAAACAAGAATTTTAATTCTTTTCATAATCGGCGTCGATTCTTTAAATACATCGAATGGGGTACACGCATGAGAGATTAGTTGATGCACTTTTTAATGCACGTTGGCAAACGTAAACATCCTCGCGTCGAGCAATTAACGTAGACAATGTGCAGAGTCGTTTCCTTAATCGGCTTAATTAGTATCACCTACCATTCGTATTATGACGGTATTACTTCTTTTTAGGAAACCAACAGCTAATTGTGCCTTCATATTATACGATACTTTTTACTATCCCTCCTCGTAGCGGTAACTAAGGATGTCTTTCCTTGTTTTTATTATTTATCCTGATTTTATTTATACTTTTTCATTCTCAACCTTCCTTCTGAGTAACGTAATTAGAAGTGATCATCATTTTTTATGTTCTGTAAATCCATCAGTTTCAGTTGTATAATGTAAATATTGCAATAATAGAATATATCTCAACAATCGAATAGCGATTTCTTAATATTAAGAATATAATACAACCTAGTGTTATTAATTTCATTCGTAATCATTGTTCCTAAGTAGTTTTAATTCTTTTTACACTTTATTTTATATTTCTTCTGTCCATAGAAATTTTTAATATAATTTGCAACTCCTTTAAGTAGAAATAAATAAATGGTATCAAAATTTTTAAAAATTCTGTAAATTTATCAAAATCATAATAAATTGCATAATTCAAAATGCGTTCGATCTATTGCCTGAATTTTCTTTTTCACCTCGTACTTCTCGCCACCTTTATGAATCGAAAATGAGCGAGACACGATCATCCTTCATGATCTCGACCTTCGGGCAGAAAGAAGCCCGATTCCTTGACCGTTTGACGCATTCTGGGCACTGGCCGAGTACTAGAAGCTAATTTAAATCCCTTTCTCTCAAACGAACACCATTACAGCTGGAGAGCTCGATAAATCGTACGTACGCACGTTCGTTCCCGCGATCAAGAGCTGCGAGCGAGTTTCTTTATTTATGCGGATGGGACGATTAAGATCGACGGCGCATGTTTCCAAGCATCAACAAAGTGTTCATAACACGCAGAGGTAGCGGGCGTCGTATTTCCTTTGCGTTTCTTGAAGCTGCGCTCGTGTGGCTAGCGCAATCCGGTACATACATATATGTATATTTTACCACGTTGCTTAATGATAGTAATTAATTCTTGACAACTGTGGAAAGACTAATAAGCGAGAGGGTACAGAGGTAAGAGTATGCATCTTGTAACGAAGTAATGACAAAGAGTAGATAACAGCAGATATTCGCAGCAAAGTAACGACGAGGGAATCTATAGAGCGATTTAGGAACTCTTCCTTTTTGATATGACATTTTCAAAAATGCCAGCTTTCATATTTAGATTCAATTCTAACAAAATTCAAATTGAACAGCGGAACTGACCAGAAATGTGATTCTGGCGTAATAGTTAACACGATGGTAATTAAGTCGTGGTTCCAGGTATTTCAATATTAGTATCAAGGACGCCTTAAAATACTGTGAGGAAATGATTTCTGGAGGGGAGGGAGGGGGGGGGGTGAACATTTAAAAAATAATGTTACAGCACCGTCAGTCAGATTAAATAAAAATTATTGTTCGTAGTCTTGTCCCCTTTCACCCTGTTACTTAAAATGGGCAATTTCGTTTCACCTGACATGGTATTAAGACCATGAATCGCTGATGGAACGTGGTAATTCGATTCTCCGGAGTCTCTATAATTTTTTGTTTCAGCCGGAATATCCATCCAATCACCGGTAAAAATTCTCTTTTTTCCACGAACTCACGCTGCCGTTCTTGCCGCACGGAATGCGCTGCGCCATCATTACAAGCACGAGGAACTTCTACACCGCCGACGAATCCTGTCTTCGCGCTTTAGCTACAGGCAATTTATAATTTCGCGTTGCGATACACGGCAACGGGAGATTTATTCCGTGCTGTTTAAAAATTGTATCTCGAGTGTCGCGTTGACTTATAGCGGTTAAAGGCCTGTGCTCGCAAGCGGGAACCGTAAACATCGATCGCATCGAAAATTTCCGTTTGTTTGGCACTTTTTTAATCCATAGTTATTAAGACCTTTTCCCTCCATTTGCCGACTTACTTTCCGTCCTGAAAGTTCCGAAACCTTTTCCCCCAACACTCTGTACAAATATGGCCATTCGTATACTCATTGTTCGATTAAACGATAAATTTTCGGTAATTAAAAATCGCAAACGTTAAAAAAAAAAAAACCCAATACCCAGTCGCCTGTTTCGCTCTGATCACTTCGACGGATTTACGATCCACCTCGAAACAATTCCACGCACTTGCCCCGCGCAGAGTTCTCCGGCGTCGCGACGGGCATCCCCGGAACGCGTAAAATCCGTTTCCACCGCAACGACGACAGTTGTCGTGGTTCAATCAGTAAATTCAGCCGCAAGTAAAGTACCTCCGGGATATCGCGTGTGCACACGTATCTGTCGCTGACTATCGCACGGTGAATTCACTACGAGGTCGTTTTACGATCGTCCTTTCCACCCTCAGCTCTCTCCTAAACTCGACGGCCACCCCAACGGCTCCCTGTTTTCCCTCGTCAATGACGCAGAGTACTGACCCAACTTGTCTCAATTATACGTCGATATGTAAAGGCCGACACGACCTTTTCTAACAGGGACACACCAACCGACTTATCTATTCATCTCCGATCGATTGCAGGAAATTAAAGCGGAGAAATGAAAGGAACAAAAGGTGCTTCAAGATCTTGTGATCGATACCAGAATAACCACAATGAAAAGGCGTTTGGTCGTGTTTAAATCGTCAGTTGGAATTGTCCTTGTTTCTGACCTCTCGTTAACGACCTCCTAATTATATCACGCCCTGACATCGATAAGAAACAAGAACTTTTTTCCAAAGCGATTGGTCGTAGACAATTTCTTTTGAGAAAGGCTCCGCGTCCTCGTATGCCCAACTCCCTTTAATTATACCAGTTTTAGGTAAACGATAAGGAATACGATTTACGTAGAAATTTGTAGCGATATTTATCTCCCGGCTCGGCATAAAAACATCGGCGAACAAGTCTATAAATCGAGGGAAAGATGCAAAAAATATTTTATTTCGCATCGAACGAATACCATCGCCGCTTCGGTTATCTATAAAACGAAGACTTTAGGCAGGGTACAAGGCACTGTTTATATAACATCAAGGAAAGGGGGATATTAAATATAAGGCCCCTATACGTATATCAAATCGCTTCTTGCACGACGAGATTCGTTTTACGACTTGCAGCCTGATTCCACGCTCATTTTAGTTGATTTCGTTCTCCATCTTTCAGTTTCAATTTAATCAGCCGTTGCTGCGCACATTGTACCATACGCTTACCGTTTTAATATATTTGTTCACATTCACTTTGTTTACATTCATAATGTAATGTTATGTAATTCAACAGTAAATAACGCTGTTGATAGTAATAAACAGTGGTTCTCATTGTAACATATTATATACGTTAAGTTAAAATATACAATTTCATTATCATTTGATCCAGACAAAAAGGTTGTTAATCCCAGATCTAAATCTCCTGTTTTTCAATAAAAGGATGTTAAAATCCTTGTGGTATCTTTTTCTTTTTCGCAGTTACCTCATTGTTCGTGCTAATAGTTGTATCAGTAACTACACTTCGATTACAGACATCGTGGCATGAACTTCCGAAACAATTTACCGTCTACGCTTCCGGTTAGGCACCTGGCGTACCGCATTTACTATTCGGCAGATGATATTTTTCCTACGGTGGAAATTAATATCTGTATACACGAGAAGGCACAGACTGCCAATGTTATTATTTAACAACGTTGGGCTGTAATTACATTCGACTTGCTGGCGTTCGATGTAAACGTAACCATCAATTTTGAAGTACATCGGAAAAGCTAAGCTACCTCCTCAGAAACGTTCAACTTGAACCGTGGATTTATAGTATGGCATAACTTTAAAACCATCTACAGTTTTAATGATCTTGTATGCTGGTACGGAAATTAACTACTCTGATTTTAAAAATACTTTCTTTGTAAATATTATTTGAGTTTTTATTTTTATTTCTATTTTTACAACATTTGTGTTCAATAAATATAACTTAATTAAACAAACATAATAATAGGAACATAGATACATAAGCTACTGGACAAAATTAGCTGAACACTTTGTTAAATGTTCATAATTATGAGAGTTTTCAACCGATTTCGGTGAAACTTCGTGAGGTATAGGCTTCAAGTGTCTTCTGGGCGTGTGCAAAGTTGCATTGTCGAGGGTTGATGTGAAGGGGTTAATTCACCCCCTTAAAGAGGGGGGCGTCGAAAAACGTCGCTTCTAAAGATGCCAGAGGTGACGAAAGGGGTTGAAAACATTAAAAAAAACTTTAGGACGACTCTCCTCGATGCCCTCTACAAAATGCACCCCATGAAATCCCTCTCGGACAAACCCACCCCTCACAACCCTCCAATCCCTCTAAAACCCACAACTTTTGGACGACAGTCTCGTATTTGGGCTCAATGAATTCTCTGGACTCCCCTGATTCAGGAAATGCCATCCAATTTATAATTCCTCGATACCTGAAAAACTTAGAAAATTAAAGTTGAAAAGCAATTTCTAAATTTCACAAGAAAATGTTACTTATGCCTATGATATTTTTAAAAACGATAACGTCTAATACACTTAAAATGAAACTTGTGACGGATTTCATAGGAATTGTGTATTACACCGAATCGTGTCAACTTACTAACTTACTATACGAAGTACGATCAGGTTGTTTTGATGGGATGTTTGAGAGAGTAGACATGCAACCGCAGAGGGACAACCGAACGATCCAAAACGCAACCGTTGGAGTACTTTCGTGCACGCCTGCATTACGTCTTGCGTTATCGTTCGCGCGTAAACATCCGCAGTCTAGTCATGACACACGGTGCAAGCCCGTTTGAAATTCGTGTCGGTGACGTCCATCCAGCTGATCATCGAGGCCGTTCGCCAGCGATAAATGATCCAACACGGAAGCGCGACACTACGCGCGGTACGTGGTTCTCACTGTCAACTGGCGTCCACGTAGGTAGAGTTTAAGGGGACATTTCACTGTAAACGTACAAAAAAAAGCATACTTTCAATAATTTTTTTCTCAGGAACTATTGCATAAAATTGAACGAATGTTCTTTCCCCTTAATGGTATGATTAAGGAAAGTAAATAAACAAATGTTTTTTTGGTAAAAAATATTTCGTCATTTATTTACAAAATAATATGCATGTGTGCAAAAAGAAAAAGTTATCCGCTGGCGCAGATGATTTTTGTGATTTTGGTGATTTTTGAACAGAAAATCGAAAAAGTTTATTATGTCGTCACACCTATCGTCGGAACCTCCAAGTAGTTGATATTTTGATTTTTACTTACAATTTCACTTGATTTACGGTACAAAAAAAGTGTTTCTTTTCTCTCTTTCACAAGAAACGCTGCCATTTTGTTTATTTTCGATGAAATAAATAAGCGGAGGTTCCGAAAAATTGGCTCATGTTTAAAGGACGTATTATGAACTGATAAAATCCTAATAAATCCACGACAGACGAAATGTACGACGATTAAAAAACATAAAAGAACCTGTATTTTTTTCTGTTAAAAATTCACTAAAACAAGGTTCAATGACCCAAACATACAAACACGAGGTCTGAACCTAAAAAAAAAGCACCTTCCCCTTAGCGAAGGAGCCATTGACGTATTATTATAAAAATTACCTTTTTTTTATCAAAATAATTTTTACATAATTCTAATGTATTTTTTCATCCCGAATCGAATGAGATTAGTGTCGGATTGATAGGATGATTCGTTCTCGAGATATCGAGTGTTTTCCGCTTTTTGGCCATTTGGGACCACCGTGCGCCGCAGCCGGCGATTCTGTGGCCGGCTTCTGTGGCGAGAATCACAGAACGCACACCGTGCGTCCTCCGCAGTCAACGTGTTAAATACACGACGGGCCGAGATATGAATTCAATCAAAAAACCTCGACGTCCGCGTCCGTCTTAAATCCGCGCGCCACCACCGCCAGTCCAACCACCACTCTTCGACGAGAAAACCCCTTACCCCACCCGACACTCCGACACCGCGACGTGTCTCCTCCCCGCGCCAGGGACGTGCCCCCTCCCGGCTAGTGCCCGTAGCCACCATGCATCTCGTCGATGTGCCGCTGCTACCAGCACTCTTAGTGAGTTACGGACCGCATACAGGCGAGCGTCGAACGAATCGGTTGGTGTCGCGCTTTACCACGTTTCGCACCGTCTAAGTTATTTCTACGTCTCGCCGCGGCACGGTTCGCGCTTCCTCCGAGAGGAGTGCTCTCCCACCGCGTACACCCGCGATCGTCTTCACCGTGCGCGACGTTCCGCGCGCGTTCGCCCGTGACATTTGTCGAAAACCCGCGCGACCTCGGCCAGGCTTTTCATACGAAAAACGGGATCACCCGACCACGCGAAACCGGTGACTTTCTCGGTTGAATCGTTTGGAAACGTTATTTCTCGTGCGGTCGTACCGAAAGGCCCTGATGCAAGAGGCGAAACGATTCAACGTGCACTGACGTACTCCGATGGAGAGGACTGCCGTTACGCGGAGCAAGAGGGGGAGAAAAAGGAGTAGAAGGGGGCTAGAGTGACACGCGGTTGCTGGGAAGACGGCACCGAGAGAGGAGGCAATTGAAGTACGCGTGTGCGAAAAGTGCCGAGGCGCGCGGACCAAAGCACACCACGAGTTGGCTAGTTGTGTTGTGCTTCACGCGGGACTAAATTCGCGATCTCCTTGCTCGTCGCGTGGATTACTCGACGGTGTACGCGTACTGGACATTTGCGAGCGTTTAAATCCCGCCTTTTAACCAAAGTCGATCTGTTCCGTCTGTCGCGGAAACAAAAGAACTGACGCGAGTATACGTTTGTTTTGCGAAAGGGAACGTAACTCACGCGGACCATAAATAAACAGCGTAGGGAAAGAAGGGTCTTTACTTACCTGAAACAGTGACAGTGGTGGAAAGATACGTTGCTTCTAGAGCCTGTGACTACTTTCTGTTTTGTATAATTGTGTTAATTGTGCACGCAACGAAAACGGACAGAAACGCGAACGCGCCTAATTGTTTGGTCGCGAGCGCGAGCGCGCGCGCGCGCGCGCGCGTGGTCCTTCTCGCGCGTAAATGCACCACGAGGTTGCGACTCGTCGCGTGGCAGTAGTGTGTATCCGCCCGCAAGACGTAACGCGATAATTTCCCTGAAGAGACTGTGCGACTCGAGGTACGTGGAGAACAGCGTTACAGTGTATTAGAGTGTTTTCTCGGGAGAATTGTGGTTTCATGGCCCGATTAACGGTAACGTGTGTTCGCTGATTGTCGGAATGAACTCTGCAATTGCATCGAACAACTTGACGAGGGAGAACGTCTTACGCCAGTAACGGTAAGTAAAAACGGTGCGTTTTCTACATTTTGTTCTTGCAACATTCGGCGTCTGTCGTATCCTGGAACGGCGATCAAGTTCGTACTCGTTTATTTGCGTAGCTTCGACTACCGCATTCGATATCCGAGATCTGAAGTTTCACGTACGCTTTATACGTAACGTTTGAATATCATTGGAATTATTAATACAATTTCCACGTATAATGTGCGACAGATTGGCGCCTAGTTTTGTCACTTTAATGGTCGCCTGGTGGTTTTACCCTTAAGGGGGGTACGGTGTCGTTTGAATCAGTTTCGGGGAATTTTTGTCAATCTTTTATTGTAACCAAAGTGATCTACGTAAACTTTTGACATTTTGGTAGTTATATTTACGCGTGTATACGTTACCGTTGTATGATTCCGGCTTTCCAGTTTATTTTCTTTATGAAAATTAATACATTCGTTAAACTTTTGATTCGGTGCAATTTATATTCAGTTGGATTTTCTGAGTTAAACGTATGATTCAGACATACCAATATTTCCAAAAGAACTGTGTAAAATTGTAATTTATTAACTTATTTTTTGTAAACAATGACATTCTACATATTCTCGGAAGTCTCTAGAATAGATAGAGTACAAAAAGAAAAATAGTTATTTATGTAAGTTGTGAAATTAACAAGAAAGAAAAACAATTAATCGGTAGAAATGTTGAAGCAATAAGTATTCGGACAACTGTTTAGAAGTACTTTACTGAAAATTTGATGTTTTGTAGTTCGCACGGAGCAATAAGCTAATGTCTTTACGTTACAAACTCTCCTGTAAATACTTATTGCTTCTATACTTTCACCCATTTTTCGCATCGTTTCGTTAATTTCACAAATTATATTAATTAGTAAATGTTGTTTGGACTATATCTGTATCAGAGACTTCCGAGAATATGTAAAATAAATAATATTACCTTGGATACTACGAAGAAATTAACAGCTGGAATGTAAAGATTGGTAAAATGAAATTTTAAGAGCACATAGCGAATACATTAATGAAAAGAAAATCGAATTGCTTGCATCATTACTGCCAAGATATTAAATAATTAATTGGTGAAATATATTACCTAAGGCAATGCAAAGTGTACATATACAAAGGCATGAGTGATATTTATTAATTAATTCGTTATTTCTTTTAAATATTTATTTCAATTGAGGAAGTCGTCAGATATTTATGAACATAGGTGTATATCTATTGAATTACATAGATACCTTCTTCGATTAGCTTATCTGTTTCGTGGCGACGTCGGTGTTGACCGAGACGGATTTTATGAAACAAACGCGGACTTATTCGCACATTCGGAATACCTTTTGGTCCCCTTGTTCCCCGTCGCCTGACCACTTATTCAACGCCATTGGAAGCGTGCAACAAAAGGAGAACATCGATTGACCATGGTCTTGTCGTCGAAACATGAGAACTTGCTGAACGATCATCGACGATCGTGCAACGTTATTTCTTGCTGGCGAGAGCACGATCTCCAATAAAGAGTTCGATCTTCACGGTGAAGACTTGCCGCCGAAAAAAAGAACGAAATGCGGCCAGGGGAAGGCCTTCGACTCGCATTTCGCTCGAAATTGGCCGATACGGTCTGATGTTGCAGAAAGAAAGGATAGGGGGCGAGCAGAGTCGATAAGAAGACCGCATCGCCACTTTGCCTGCAATTAGGTGAGGTCGCCTTAGTGATTCTTGATGCGGTATGACGTATCGAGGCATACGATGTATTCATCTTTTCGCTGCTCCCTGCGGGGATGCTCGTTTCGCGAAAGAAATTCATTCATAATTGAAATCACGGCAGGACAAATGTATAAAAGTTTAAGTAAGCATAAATTTCTGTTGGATGAACGATTGCCACTTCTTTCTTTGACCATTTTTTAAAATTGTTCCTCTTTTATTGCTCGGACGAAACATTGTTCAAAACGTACGAGACATATGCATGCATTTGATTGATCTCTACAGGAGCAGAGCATTCGTGTTAACATGCTTGAATCATCTAGGGTTTTTGCTTTTGTCTATTATCATAATAGGTAATTGGCGGAACCTGGTAGCATTAGCACAAATAAGTACACGAACGATAGATCATTCTGGTAACGGAGGTTTTGATAATCGACGTTCTACTGTATTAGACTTGATTTGAAAAATCGTTTTGTAATTACTAACCATTTATTTAATGGTATCGATTTTAAAAGTAGTATATCTTCAAATGGTTGGATTACGTTACTTGATAGAATATAGTGCTTTTCCAAGGAGAACTAAAAATCTATTCCTGTCTAAAATTTGAGTAAAGGTTTAAAATCAACGCTTCAGCTAACATTTTGATATTAATGCATTTGTATACATCCTTGTATATTTACACTTGCCATGAATGCATAAATATCCGCGGTCTACACATAACATAAAATTTTAAGGTACATATCCATTTAATGTCAAGTGTTTCGCAGTATATGAACAATTTCTTTTTTTTTTTTTTTTTTGGAATCTACATAACAAGTATCAAGTGCATATTTAATTACGTTCATAGTTCATTTTCTAAAGGTACGTTTTAATCTCGTCAGAACTAAAAATAGATACATATGTATTAGAAGTGGCAAGAAGTGTAGCACAAAATGCGACGAATGTTTACATACCATGCATGCGAATACTGAGAAAATATTATATATAAACGGCTTTAGCATCAATGTTCGGTCGCAGAGATCATTCAAAATGAGATTGCGATGTAATATAGCATATCTTACATTATCATCACTAGACTGCGGATTTTTATGCAAAATAAAATCTTGGCGAACGTGCCTACAAAAATTGAACCTAAATAGAAATTTGCTTTATTCGACAAATATTATAACATGAAGTTTACTTTCAATCTTTTTTATGTTCTTGCATATCGTTTGCATTTTGTAGGTACTTGCACATTCACATTTCCTATAAATGCATAAAAATCCGCAGTCTAATCATCACCGACGAACTAACATTATGGAAACAATGTTACGCGCAGATATGATCCAATAAGAAAATATCGACGTGCTAATTGTATCCAATTGTAAATTAACAGGAGGATATAATAAAAAAGGCGCACATGAAAATCGTTAACAAAATTTTCGACGACCGAAATAATTAATGGAATGACATTCTGCCAATTGAAATTGTTATATGTGTAATGATTTTAAACGTTTGTAAAGGGTAATGCATACGTCTCCAAAGCGAAGAAATTGTATAACTCGAATGTAACTTTTACGAATACGAGATGCAAGTGTAGTTATCGATCCATACATCATGCAATCCGTGACTAGCATGAGTTTTGTTACTTTGTGCAGCGCGCACAGCTTATTTTAAACGCGATTCCACGAGTGATAGTGATTTGAAATGGTTTGAATGAATATTATTCACATGCGAGAGGTCAGAGTCTAGAAAAAAATTTCACCGAGTACTGAGAATGTAAATCTCTATTCCTGGTTTGCAAGAATTGAAATGATTAAATCAGCATAATGGAGGATTGCTCGGAAAAATCCACGAACATAGTATAATATTTCTAACAATTTATTATTGCGTTAAATGAATTACTATTTTCTCTTGAATGTTGCAAGTACTTGCATAGATTCCTTCGAGACACTAATTTCTATTTATTCTGCAATTTATGCGAGAAATCTTGAACGTATCAATCTTTTTCCGTGTGTCATTTTGACCTTTTGGAAGAAAATTTTAGATCAGATTTTCAAATTACAGTTTCGCCTTTGCATTTTCAATCGAGCGAAATTAAGAGTTTTCTGAAAGGGGCTTCAGGACTTTGTTTTTTTTTCTTTTTTTTTTTTTGTAAAATTAAAAGTGATCGACATAAATATTTGTTTATGTTTTGTGGTATCTGCGCCAGTAAACTTTGTAACATTAAATCAAGCAAATAATAATTTCCATATAAATCAGGTTCGAAAGGGCCTTAAGTCATGAAGTGGATGCGTTTTTTACTCTATATTATACGACACGGTTTTTGTCGTTTAAATTGATTTTTATGCATTACGTGACGGATTCGTGCGACCAGATCAGTTGCTAAATATTTTATGTATATTCATGCAGCGCGCAAGGAGAGCGTAAAAAATGCTCGTTAAATTCAGATCTATCTATATTTTTTTTTTTTTTTTTTTTACTTTAAACGATATGTGATTGATACGTATAAACGAGTTTCTTTTAGGCCAGTGCACGTACTTATAACTACTTTAGTTATTCATAAAATTTTATTATTGTGTAGTAATCAGTTACGCCATCACCTTTCATACATGTCGAAGGCTTTTAGTTAAGAAAAAAAAAAAAAGAATTCTTTTTCATCTAATAAGTAATATTTTTCATTCAATTTGTTAGTAAATCAATAGTAGATTGTCTTCTGAAATTGACTATCCTCTAGTATCAATTAAAATCAATAAAAAATACTTATTGTATTTCAAACTTCAAATAGCAATAATAAGGACACTTATAGCATAATTCTTAGTATACTATTAATTTGAACAGATTTACCTTTTTCGTTAGTTTATATTTTTATCTTGATAAAGTATCCCGACCATCCTTTGTCAAATCGCGCAGTGCTCTAAACAACGTATTGATTACCTGGTATTGATTACCTGTAATTTTAATTTGTTTCGGAGTACATACATTTAACCCAACTTGCACCAAGAAGTGGCGCCCCATAGCATATCATTGAGCGTCATGCAATCACCAGCCGCTGAGTTATCTATATTTAATACGAAATGGGGGGATAATCAGCAAGTATAGTGTGGCGATCTAAAAAAAGCGAAATCGTCGGTGATACTGGTCGATTATTACCCAAGTGTCGATGGTGCTTAGGCCACTGATGGAAATAAAGTTCAAAGATATTGTTCTTTGTGGATTATTCCACTTTTGGTTTGAGAGATATTAATTTACAAATAGTTTGAATCAAATGTACCGTTTGGACATTTTTTCGTGTAGAAGTTATCTATACGATAATGTGCTATGTAAACTACTTAATTTCTTGCTTGAACGTGCTAATTTTCGAATGTAATTTTATTGAAATTCTTGATCAATTAATGCACTTTTACTATAGTCCTCCAGCGAGTGTGTACTGTATACGTTTAGCAGAGTTTAAGCACTTACTGTAACATAATACGTGTATAGAAGAGCAGAGCTGGCCTGCGATCCGAGGTTACTCGTTTATCTGCTTTCGCATCGAGGGTTGAAGGGTTTTAAAGGCTGCACTTAATATCCAGATGATCTCAGATTGAAACCGCAGATTTCACTGAGCCTCGCCGCGGTTTATTCCAAGTTAGTAATACTTTGTTTAGACGGGTTGCATTAGCACTAATTTAATTTCCTACCGAATTGTTTGAAATCACTGTCTCCCGTTTCCATTAACCGGTTACCAGTTGCCAACAGGTTTCACATAATGGCCCGTTTCACTTTGTTCCTTTTCTATATCTTTTCGTTCATCTCCCGAACCACGGATGGGTAGGATTCTCTTATCTAGATTCAAATTTCACGAGACGAATAAAAGATAAAGAACTCTTTCGTCGTTACTGCTTGAACAAGAATTAGAATATTAATCGGAATTGAATATTCCTCGATGAAGAAATGAAAATCTTGTAGCGGTCGTAAACATAAAAGCATCAACCGAAATTGTCTACCTAACTAAGCGTCGGATTCAGATTTAGTTAAGAATTAAGATTTGACCTTGGAAAGGTCCCACATTTTTTATAACATCCTGTATAATAGTGCGTGGAATGTAATATTTGCGTAAAGCTGATTTGACTTAATAATCATAGTTTCATTAAATTCCAGCGAAAGTAGAGTATTATACACAACGGTTTGATAAGGATTTTTAGAAGAAGAAAGTAGAAAGGGTTGACTTCCATCAACGTTCATCACGTTGAACGAAAGGGTTCACTCGAAATTGTTATTTTGAGTGATTGAGAATAAGAAATGGAACTACTAAACTAGAACTGCTAATTGAAATTGTTTTCAAGTGTTCTCGTTAGTTTTCTCCCACATAAACTGCTCCAAGCAATTAATCACTTCAAGAGAACCGAACTTCGGGGTAGGAAGAAATATTGTGTATTCAAAAGTAACGAGAATTTGTATTGACTATCCAACGTAGCCGGAGCTGTTACAATTTGAATACTTTACCGAGAAGCTGTCGTTTGAGTAGATAACATAATTGTATGAATAATGTATCTGATTTCGTTGGAACGTGTTTATCGACGTTATTTATCGGTTTGTTTTGCAGTTTAAATTTCAGTTTAGATAAGACCAGAACCGGATGTGGACCCACAGGTCGATAATAGAACAGCTCTGGCGTGGACTGAAATGCGATCCGACGGCAGCGGTATGCTCAATGAATTTTACGAAGCGAATGAAATTCCATTGATCAAACGGTAGAGCTCCACTTGCGTAAATTCGGCGGAAAATCCAAAAATTGTAGTATTTATCGCTTATTGTAAACATGATACATTAATATTATTTTTTGCGCAATTCTAAATAAATGAAGAACTTGTATTTAATACGAGAACATCAAGGGAGGACCGTATTTGAAAGTTTGAAAACGGTCAAATTTGATTTCGAAGTTATTTTCAAAGTTGTCTGGTTTCAGCGCTAATTACAATCGTTTATGTTCGTACACGGTGACGAAAAAATAGACGCTCAGAGATATTTCTCAAGCGATTAGACCTCGATATTCAAAACCCTTCGTATCTCGAAGCAAAGATAAATACGCTCGCATAACGAAATCTCCGCGAGTTTACACGTTCGTTCTTCTGTTTCAGAAAGCGGATTTCGAACCCGAAGGGCGGAACGATGCCGAGTATCGGTCCTGTGTATTGTGAGAAGACACGTGACGCATTTTTCTTCGACAAGCACATGCTGGAAGGATAAAGGACAACCTATCGAGGACCTGTCTACCCAAGCACTTTCTTGAAATTTCTCTCGACGATGAAAAGGCCCTCGAACGGGGCCGCTCGTGCGCTGTGAGGAGTGCGCTGAGAGAAGAATCGTTCGGCTTGGAACGATCGATCGCTGGCGAAGTATATTTGAACCGTGCTCGCAAACCACCGATAGTAAAGCATGGAAAACGGGGACGAGGTCCTTTCCACCCAGGTGAAAACGAACGCGTCCTCGTCCTCGAGTACGACACAGAGCCCGCGCACACCGCCGAATTGCGCGCGATGCCGCAACCACGGATTAAAAATTCCCCTCAAGGGTCACAAAAGGTACTGTAAACATCGTTACTGCAAGTGCGAGAAGTGTCATCTCACCGCGGAAAGACAACGAGTGATGGCGAGGCAAACCGCGATGAGGAGAGCCCTGGCGCAGGACGAGGTGAAAGTCAGGGCGGCGGAAGAGGTTAGTCCTTCCTTGTTCCTTAGGGGTGCTTTTTATTTTCTTATGTCTCGCGGCTGCGGGACACCTTCGCGCGATAACCACTCTCGGGTAGACACTTTTGGATTTCTCATGGAGGGTGAGTCGATAAGAACTGCCACATGAAATAACTCGTTATTTATTCGTCTTATTTTCGATTAAACGTGTATCGAATATTTTTGTGGACAAACAGAGAGTAATTAAAAGGAAGAGAACTGAACACCTGAACTGAATAAAAAATAATTGAATTCTGTACCTGCCGTGTGCTCTTGAAACTTTATTCGCCGATCTTGACATCCTAGCTATTAATTTCTTCACTGTATCCAAAGTAATATTATTCATTTTGTAATATTTCGTCGTAAGCGATTATCAGATATTCAATATTTTCTCCTACCTTTTCTACGTAAATGATCCCGCAGTTTCTCTATGAGATAAAATAGAACTTAGCAACAACAAATTTTCTAGCAATAATTTTCGGTGTATATAACGTCGATACATTTTGCGACTGAATTTTATCTCCTCGTACACGCCATAAATTCTCCTGGCGTGAATTGAGTCACGTACCGTACAAGAAATGCGTGCTACCTAGAAATAAATCGTTCCATTAACGAGTGCGTCGTTGATACGAAACTGTACATACCGTAATTACTTGAAAAGAATCTCGCCAGGCTATGATTATTTTGTTTATCTCATGCTCTTAACACCGGGTTAGGGCTGCGTGTAATGCAAGGCAAATTGCCGCCCGTGTGTTTCCTGTGCGCCTTGCAGCCGCGATAATTTCAACTGTGCTCCTTAATTCCGGCGACCAGCGATCGTAATTGATCTTTTCCTAGCAGGTGGATCCACCGCCATTCGGGTTCGAAGCTGGTCGACTTTCCGCGGTCCCTCAGCCGGCTAGAAGTCTCGAGGGTAGCTACGACAGTAGCAGCGGGGACTCGCCTATTAGTAATCATGGCAGCAACGGTGTACACTCTGGCCTCGGTGGTGTCATCAGTATTCCTACCTCCAGAAAATTACCCTCGTTGCACCCTCATACTGGAACCACGACCCACTTGCCGCAGTCGCAGTCCGGTGAGTGATCCAACGTTTCTGTATTTCATCTTTGAAGTATTGAATATATATATATAGAGAGAGAGAGAGATGATTAGGTACCTTTTAACTAAATTTCTTAAATAGATGGTTAAGTAATTCCCTTTATAATATAAATTATCTAACGGTATATAAAATTAATAAGAAGGAATAGCCAAAAAATGATCGTCAATAATGTTACAATTTTTACATTACGTATAATATATGTATATTTTCTATATTATTGTACTTAATGCATAAAATCCGCAGACTAGTTATAACAAATATTTTTGTTTATTGTACGTGTTTAAACGTACTATCCAATGATGTATTATTCAAACTCAAAGTATCCTTAAACCTGTTTTTCTGAGAAACGAGAAATGAACGCGTGACATGTGCGATGTAAGTCATCGATATATAGAGCGACATACTCGTTCTGTGCGTGACATACACTCGGTACAAACATCGCGGTATTAAATGTTAAATGTCGTTTCATATATTTTTCAACACTACCTGCCCATGTGTCTCTAGAATTGATCTTTGAAACTGGTTAAATGATTTGACATGAAACCTGTAATTGCAGTTATAATTTCAATTATTGTTGTTTCCAGTTTCCAATTATATGTCTCGAGGGAATAAACATAAACAGTTGCGAAAGAATTGCGTACACAAGTTTTACCAATTTAGAATTTCATGCATTTCATAAATTTATAACAGATCAGACGCGAAAATCGTTAGAATGTAGAAAGTACATTTCGTACATTTTACAAGTTTATAATCAATGAACGAAACAGTCGTAATAATTTGAATATTTCTGCATTTCGTGAGTTTAGTTAGCACAAATATATAAAAAGTTGTATAAATTTAAATATTCATTTAATTACCAGGGGAATTTGAAATACCATTCATTTAAAACAAAAAAAAATACGAAATCATTTACTCCTACTTAATGCTGAAACGTGAATATCCCGATGTGTGACCGACCTTGCTATTGTTTGTGAAACGCGCTATCAGACATTAAATCGTAAGGCAAAGGGTTAATATGCATGTTTATTATATGCGGTGCACCTGCTTGTTGGTGAATATACATGTAATGTATATGTATGTACACGTTCAAAACCGGGACAGCCAACCTGTTGCTTGCTCCGATTTCTAGTCACCCCTCTGTTTCACCTACAAAACCCACCCTCCACGCTGCGGACGAAATCTCATCTTCCTTTCTTTTTTACGTAGTTATTTATTTTATCCCCAATGAATTCGCAGGAATCTCTTTTTCGTCACGTATGTACGATGTAAGAGTTATTCGAAATGTTTTGAGATCATAATGACGAACGACAAATGCAGTAGTAAATAAATTAGTATTTTGTTTTTAAAAACCAAGATTCTGTAACCCCATTTGGAAAATACTTTATTAATTTTTCCGATTAGTCCTACCTTTACAACACGTGAACGTAACAAGTTGTGCGTGGCTGTCTTTACAGGAAAGAATCACGAGATTTAATTACAGATCCTGTGCGGCAAAGCTTATTATGATTTCGTTAAACAAGTGTTTTCGAATGAACCATTAACTAGTTGTGTAATTTATATACATATAAGTGAAAGCTGCCACTTACCAACGATATCTCCAATCCGTGTGTACGCATTTAGTTTTCTCGCTGTTTTCGTAGCGATTTTATAACGGTATCATAATGTTTGAACCATAAAAAAAAAAAACAAATAATCAAACGTTTTCGAATCATATTTTATTGTATTTACCATTTCGAACTAGAAACGAAACTTTTTCGACGACTTCGAAACGCGTCCGATGATCAAATTGCCGCTAATTGTACCTTGGCGCTCATTAATCATCTTACTGCTACTCGTGTTGTACGTGTTAATTATGCGAGGTGTTTGAAATCATCTATCAAAATTTATGCTGAACTCTGCGAAAAGAAGGTAGCTGATCGATTAGACAAAGGCATTATTTTAAACTAAATTTTCGCACGATACATCTGTAAAATTTATTCGTTTGTTGTCTTGGCTGTCTTTTGACATAAAAGTTCAAATTTACGGTTATTTATGGTTGGCGTTCACCTTCCTACATTGTTCCGAGCTTCGATACTCATTTCCATTATGGGAACAGCTCGCTAGGAGTTTATATTTTTACTTTGAATATAGATTCCATCATATAAAATCTGTTTTATGCGACAGAGTCACCAATAATACATCACTGTTGAACCAATTATGCATTCCTCGAGCTGTGCGCGATTCTCATTCGTTAGATTTATTTATGGCCACGCTGCACAGACTCAACCGAGTCAAGCACGTCCAGTCAACTATAACAATTATAAAAATCAGTTTTTACCATATAAGCAGACCTCCCTTCTCGCTGGATCTAAATACAAAGGGCGGTATTCAGTGGACTCCATCAGAAGATACTATTATTTATCCGCTCGGGTTTGCTTATACGAGAAGTTATATCATCTGCAATTACCGTACAAAATGTTATTTTACGAGGACCGATTAATGAACGATCATTATTCTTCTGAGAAGGGGGGGGGGGGGACAATCGAAGCACTGTCGTCCAGTTTCTCTAATCTAATGGTCGATACTCGTTTCAATCGACATTATGGCAACTGCTCGTTAGAAGTTGAAGTTTTTACTTTGAATACAGATTTATCATCGTGATTATTCCTTAGTTTTGTATTATTTACTATCAAGTGTTTTCCAGGAGGGTCTTTAAGATTTTTGCTTTTTGTCATCTTTCACGTTTAATAATCGAAATCATTCTTTTTCTTTTTAAATTATTTTATTTCAGTTTGAAGCAGCCCGATCGCGCTGTTGAGATTTTACGTGGAGAAAACCCAGTACTTATTTAACGAAAGCGCGGTTGCGCTGTTTGGGATTCTTCGGTAGTGTCTTTTCAATACCCCCTGGAACTCAAACGGTTAATTCTGCAGTCGCGGTGAAAAGTTATTTCTCCGGATTTCTTGTATCGAAAGTTATGAAGCTCTATAAAATTGGATGTTTATAGTGAAATTAATTCGATTGGGTATGCATTTCATTTTACGACTGTTACATAAACAGATATCTTGCATAAACAATGCAGAATGTACCCTCTTCGGGAACACTGGCATGCGTATGTACGTTTAGTTCTTTTTTTTTTTTGTTTAATTACAATTATTTCCTTTTAATATAAAATT